AATAAACAATAGACATAAACAACTGATCAGCCAAATAAAGAAAGTTCTAAACGCCGAAATGTGAAAAAATATTCCTCGTGGCCGCCTTTAAAATTCTGATCGAGCAAAAGGGGGTCTATGATCGGAAAACAACGAATCAGATACAGAGATTTCCGTTAATTCCTTTTAAGAACTCCTCTATAGCTTTGCTAGCTTAAATTGGTCTAAAAATTTAATAGAAATGCTACAGTTGTCTCATATTAGTTGTGATCGTAGCAAGATGATAACTTTTTTGTTCATTAGAGTTTTCTTAAAGTGTAGTCTTCTAAGATTTGAAGTTTTCATAATAGAATGTTTCTTATATCTGACATTTGCTCACCATAAGGGTACTGTATGCCATTGATGTCATCCTCATGTAAGTCGGGATTTCCTATGCGAGCATAGGGCCACATGACGGCGTCTTCATTGTCAGAGTGATCCAGTCCTAAGGTATGACCGAACTCGTGCAAAGCAACATAGCTCAAGCTTCTGTAAGTCTTCGACGTCCCCCACCACGTAATGGTACCGCCCCTCTCATTGAAAAATTCATCGTCATCAAAATGGACTCTACCGTCTTCAGGGAAGTACGCATGTCCAAGGACACCTCCCTTTCCGTCGAAATCGTAATAACAGTCTTGCTCATTAGTGACACCAGCATGAGAGTAGGATCCAAAGCTTTGAGGGAAAAACATTACTTTAGCAAGGGAAAAGGTAACTTCAACGAAAGCCCTTGGCTAGATGTTCGCAACGGCTCATTCCTTCATCACTATCAATATAACTAACATCATCTTGAATATTATTATTATTATTATTATTATTATTATTATTATTATTATTATTATTATTATCGTTTGAACACAAAGTGGTCCAACCTTATCCTTATACCGGCATTGTCGTAGTCATCTGTCCATGTAAACTGAAGACTTGAAGCAGCACCAACCCATTTGTCTAAGGCCTCCTCGATAATACGTAGCTGATCATGGTGATACATATCGTTACCGTACTCCATATAATATGTTAAACTTGTCTTGGACCATTTTCCTTGCGTGGTGAAACGCTTGACGCGTCCATCTTCGTCGACATCGGGCATTCCACATCGTGGTTTTCTCATCAGATATAGAGTGTCTTCGTCCAGTTCTCCCGTTTATGACAAATGGAAAAACTTCTGGAAGTTTTTTATTGCTTTGTTTAGGTCCTAGTTCCCTGATCTAGCTGGTGATATGTAGTGATACTTCCTTAGGTAGCTCTGTTGATGCGAAAAAATTTACTTGAGTTGAAGTCACCTTGATAGTGTGGTCACCTGTTATTATACAAGTTCGCTTGAGCGCTACTTATGAGGAGAAGCCTTGTAAGTAAGTAAGCGGGAAAATAATTAAACAGAAAGGAATGCTTGGTTTAGAGTTCAATTCAAGTGAAATCTAAAGCACTAGATAGAGACTACACATCAATACATTCAGTTGTTTGTGTAAACAAAAGATTGTGCCAGATCAGGAGGCTCCTGACATAAAACTGCTGCACCGTTGTTTCAAGTTGAATTTTACCAGACAAAACACACAACAGTCAAAGAGTCTTAGCACTTGCCTCAGCGAAAGATTCGTCGTCCTCAAACTCGTCAAACGACTCACAACAGACGATTTTTCCAGCAAACAGCAGGGAAACTAGCAGAAAGGAGACCAACATGGTTGACCTGTTCAGCTTCCTAGCATGAGAAATGCACCTTTCTGCCAATAGGCTACAAATCACAAGACAAAAGATATATCATAACTGGGAAAACTGTTTGCACAGGTGTACAGCGAAGAATATTCTGGTCATTTGTTTTTCAATCTCCGTTACACCAGAAGGTATCCGGTGACCCTGCAGTTGCACTTGAAATGACTTTTGCTGGCGTGTATCGTATTAAACAATAGAAATATTCTGAATCACAATGAACACACAAGATTTCTACATTTTTCCAAAAGGGAGAGAACCTGGTCTAAGTACTGTTGCAAAAATTGCAGAGTTGAGATGGTTTCAAAATATTGGCAGATTTAAACGAATCGAATTAAGTAGAATTTGATACAAAAGTCAATGTTTTCAAATTACAGCTATCAACTGTTTTTGAATAACTTACTACTCCACATAGATGACTATTCAACCAATAAGTTACTCGGATACTGAGAGTTTAAGCGACTTTGCCATACAAGTTTGTCAAAATTCATATACAAGCGTAGTAGGTTGGAGATAGAAACGAATCTAAGAAGTGCCATAGTGGCACACATTTCTATAGCTCAAAGTTTTCCTCTTCTCTCGCAATTCAACGAACAATCATCTACCAAACACATAACCTCTTATGATTATTTCTAGAGTGTTAGAACTTGATGAAGATTTTTTTAAAGCTTTTTAGTCATAAATAACTCTTTCGATCAGACAAATTGCTGTTGAAAACTTTATGAGGTAATAAAAATGATAAAAAAGTTCAACTTGCCACCTTTAGTTACGTGTAAGTTAAAACATTTTCAAACACATGATTCATGTTTGTCTCGTGTTTATTCCAATGAAAATGTTTTTTCAGATGGTGTGGATGTAGGAAGAACTTAAGAAAGTCGTCATTACCCCTTCATTCGTGGGATCATGTCGCAGGAATTCTTACTATTGTACGTACAGAGATTGTTTAATTAAGAATGATGTTTTAAGCACATAGTTGACAGCCGCGGTATGAGTGAAATATAAGAGGCAGGCTCTCGATTTCGGATTGCAGATGCAATTTCTGTTGTTGTATAAAGGTTAGGAAGTTTCCCTTCCTTTCGGGAATCGCGCTGTTGCTCCTTAACAAATTCCTCCCCTGGCCACACTGAAGCTAGATTCTCGGCACTGCTGTTAGATCTCTTAACTATAGTATTTCGAGAAAGAAGGAAGTAAAATTGCGTCAAGTTGTAAGTTGAAAACAAAGTCCTTGTAAAACTTAATGTTACTTAGAATGATTTCAAATCACACATTCAAATTTTTCCAAATTAAAGCTAAAAAAGCAACAGGAACTTTTTGCCTTCAGCAAAGGCACCTTAAAATTCTGTTGCGATTTAGAGGTATATCCCAGTATAGAGGATCTCAATGGGGTGATGGCATTTACGGTTAACACTTCAAATTTTGGCTATTTTTTGGCTAACGTTAAATTTCTTTCCATTGTGATCAAAACAAATAATTTTTACGGTTAACTTTTTTTACGCCTAACGGCTACATCTTTCTCCCGTTTTACTCCCATCGATTAACCCTATCGAGACCTTTACGCAAAGCAATGAAGAATATAAGAATTTTAGAAGCCTAACTTGCGTTTCTAAACCACCAGCTAGTCACATAACAATTTTCACCCTGCCATTTAATTCTGAAATGTCGAAAGTTTTATGCATCTGGTGTAATGACAGAGGCTGATTGTGGAGCTCAATTTAGCTTCTTTAGCTATGTTAATGCACCATTGAAACATTGAAATATTTGAACAAATGTTTCCAACAGAGATTAAAGTTACCAACAGTCCTAACATCGAGGTTCCTGGGATCACGTTTCAGATGTTCTCACAATGCTACTTCGAAAGATTGCTCTATCCACATTTATATGTTCCTGCCATTTTAGAAGATGAAACCACAACAATCTTGGATCATCCTTTATCTATACATGATGACTTGTGATCGAGTTTTTTTCTTCTCTTTTTTTAACTAAAGAGCGTTTTGTTAAGTCAGAACGTAAAAAAATAAACATCAGAGCATTGCAGTCAGAGTAACTCAAGCAATTACTCACCTGTTAATGTCACGCAGCGCAGGATTGTACAAGAAGCAAAAGAAATGTCATTTTATGTTAAATATTGCAGCCCCTTGAAACCGTTTCAACACTCTGTTTCTCTCTTTCTTTCCACAATAACCATTGGAGAAGGAAAAGTAAAAGAGGAAAAAAAATAAAGAAGGTTTTATAGTGCGAGAAAGAGATGAGTTGAAGGTGGGTGCATGTTCCCTTTGCCATGGCAAAATCTAAAACGGATTTTCGCATTTTCCTTCGATATCAAGTTGTCAGCAGAAAATATTTTCATCTGGCTTTCATCAACCATCTATAAGAAACAAAATGGATGAACGCTAAAGGGGCTTTCATTACTTTGACAACGACAATGCTAGTTCAATATACTGCCATGTTAATCTTAAAAATGATAGGCGGAATATGGCTATGACAATCAAAGGGGTTACATAGCTAGCCGTGGCCAAATATTTATCTTTAAAAGACTTAAAAAATCTTCGAAGAATACAGAAAAATTGTACAGTAATGAATAAATGCAAATTGGCAATTTCTATCGAGTACATCTGGTCCCCGCTTGTTGATTATTAACCATACCGTTCCTCCATAAGAAGAAAGGTTTGTGCTTTCTAGATGGAAATATTGATTTTGAACTGAAACGACTCATCAAAGCGAATAAGGATTGAAATTCCTCAGTCAAAATCTATTCTTAGAAAAGCAAGCCACTACCAAACAGAAACCTCACATTTCAACATTGATCTTTATTAGCTTTATTCCATTTGTTTAGCACTACGGCATCCCAACACCTGGTTTTCTCACAATCACTATAATCAAGACCCCTTGTTTACTATTCGTCAATGATTAATACATCTGTCGATCGGCTATTTGCGTTTCTTCACGATCCTGCAGTAAACAATAGACACAGACAACTGATCAGCTAAATAACAAAAATCTAAATGCAGAATTATCAAAAATATTCCTCATGGTTGTGTTTCAGATTTTGGTGGAGCAAAAGTGGGTTTACCGGAAAACAACGAATCAGATATAGAAATTTCAGTTAATTTCTTTCAAGAACTCCTTTGTAGCTTTGGTAGCTTAAATTGGTCTAAAAAATGCAATAGAAATGCTGCAATTATCTCATATTAGATGTGATCGTGGCAACGTGATAACTTTTTTGTTCATTAGAGTTTTCTTAATGTGTAGTCTTTTAATGTATAGTCTATAAGTTTTCATAATAGAATGTTTCTTATATCTGACATTTGCTCACCATAAAGCGACTGTATGCCACTGATGTCATCCGAATGTAAGCTGGGATTTCCTGTTCCAGCATAGGGCCACATGACGGCGTCGTCATTGTCAGAGTGACCCAGTCCTAAGGTATGACCAAACTCGTGCGTAGCAACATAGCTTAAGCTTTGGTAAACCTTCTCCGACCACCACCACCCAGTGGTACCACCATTCTCACTGTACCTTTCATCGTTATCAAAATGGACCCTTCCGTCTTGAGGGTAGTACGCATGCGCAAGGGTTCCTCCCTCTCCGTCGAAATCGTTATTACAGTCTTTCTCATTAGTGACGCCAGCATGAGATTTAGATCCAGAGCTTTTAGGGAAAAACATTACTTTAGCGAGGAAAAAGGTTACTTCAGCGAAAATATGAAGGTATCAGCCGTCAAATAGATATTCGCAACGGCTCATTCGTTCATCATTATTAGTATGATTGTTATCATCTTTAATATTATCACTAAAATTATCGTTAGAACACAAAGCGGTCCAACCTTATCCTTATATCGGCATTGTCGTAGTCATCTGTCCACGTAAACTTAAGACTTGAAGCAGCACCAACCCATTTGTCTAAAGCTTCCTCGATGATACGAAGCTGAGTGGCCTCACTCATATCGTTACCGTACTCCATATAATATGTTAAACTTGTCTTGGACCATTTTCCTTGCGTGGTGAAACGCTTGACGCGTCCATCTTCGTCGACATCGGGCATTCCACATCGTGGCTTTCTCATCAGGTATAGAGTGTCTTCGTCCAGTTCTCCCGTTTGTGACAAATGGAAAAACTTCTGGAAGTTTTTTATTGCTTTGTTCAGGTCCTGGTTTCCTGATCTAGCTGGTGATATGTAGTGATACTTCCTTAGGTAGCTCTGTTGATGCGAAAAAATTGACTTGAGTTGAAGTCACCTCGATAGTGTGTTCACCTGTTATTATACAAGTTTGCTTGAGCGCTAGTTATGAGAAGATGCCTTGAAAGTAAGCGGCAAAATAATTAAACAAAAAGGAATGAGTGGTCTAGAGTTCAATTCAAGTGAAATCTAAAGCACTAGATAGAGACTACACATCGATACATTCAATTGTGTGTGTGAACAAAAGATTGTGCCAGATCGGGAATCTCCCAACATAAACTGCTGCACCGTTATTTTATGTTGATTTTACCGGTTTTCCTGACCACCTGCCTATACCAACTATTTTCCTATTCAAAGCAACAAAACACACAACAGTCAAAAAGTCTTCACACTTGCCTCGGCGAAAGATTCGTCGTCCTCAAACTCGTCAAACGACTCATAGCAGACGATTTTTCCAGCAAAGAGCAGGGAAACTAGCAGAAAGGAGACCAACATGGTTAACCTGTTCAGCTTCTTAGCATGCGAAATGCACCTTTCTGCCAATGATAGGCTGCTTTAAATAAAAATTACAAGGCAACAGATATATGATAACTGGGAAAACTGTTTGCACAGGTGTACAGCGAAGAATATTTTAGTCATTTGTTTTTCAATCTTCGTAACAACAGGAGGTATCCGGTGACCCTGCAGTTGCACTCGAAATGACTTTTGCTGGTGTGTATCGTATTTAACAATAGAAATATTCTTAATCACATTGTACACAAGATTTCTACATCGTTAGTAAGCGCGTAAAACACTAATATCTTTTTTAAAAAGGGAGAGAACCTTGTCTCAGAGCTGTTACAAAAATTGCAGCGTTGAGGTGGTTTCAAAATATTGGCCGATTTAAACGAATCGAATTAAGTAGAATTTGATACAAGGTCAATGTTTTCAAATTACAGCTATCAACTGTCTTTTGAATAACTTACTACTCCACTTGGGATGACTATTCAACCGATAAGTTACTCGGATACTGAGAGTTTGAGCGACTTTGCCATACAAGTTTGTCAAAAGGCATACAACAGCTTAGTCAATTGAGGATAGAAACGAATCTAAGAAGTGCCATAATGGCACAAATTTGTATTCCTCAAAGTTTTTCTCTTCTCTAGTCATTCGACGAACAATCATCTAACAAACACATAACCTCTAATGGTTATTTCTAGAGTGTTAGGACTTGATGAAGATTTAATTTTTAAAGCTTTTTAGTCATAAATAACTCTTTTGATCTGACCACACTAGATAAACAGACAAATTGCTATTGAAAACTTTATGAGGTAATAAAAATGATAGAATAGTTCAACTTGCCGCCTTTAGTTACATGTAAGGTAAAACTTTTTCAAACACATGATTCATGTTTGTCTCGTGTTTATTCCAATGAAAATATTTTTTCAGATGGTGTGGATGTAGGAAGAACTTAAGTAAGTTGTCATTACCCCTTCATTCGTGGGATCATGTCGCAGGAATTCTTATAATAGAATGTATAGTGATTGTTTAGTTAAGAATGATGTTTTAAGCAGGTGGTTGACGGCCGTTGTATGAGTGAAATATAAGAGGCAGGCTCTCGATTTCGGATTGCCAATGCAATTTCTGTTGTTGTATAACGGTCAGGAAGTTTCCCTTCCTTTCGGGAATCGCGCTGTTGCTCCTTAACAAATTCCTCCCTTGGCCATACTGAAGCTAGATTCTCGGCACTGTTGTAAGATTTCTTAACTATAGTATTTCCAAAAAGAAGGAAGTAAAATTGCGTCAAGTTGTAAGTTGAAAACAAAGTCCTCGTAAAACTTAATGTTATTTAGAATGTTTTCAAATCACAAATTCAAATTTTTCCAAATTAAAGCTCAAAAAGCAACAGCAACTTTTTGCCTTCAGCGAAGGCACCTTAAAATTCTATTGCGATTTAGAGGTATATCCCAGTATAGAGGATCTCAATGGGGTGATGGCTTTTACCGTTAACGGTTCAAATTTTGGCTATTTTTTGGCTAACTTTAAATTTCTTTCCATTGTGATCAAAACAAATAATTTTTACGGTTAACTTTTTTTACGCCTAACGGCTACATCTTTCTCCCGTTTTACTGCCATCGGTTAACCCTAAGAAGTTTAAAAGCCTAAATTGCGTTTCTATACCACCAGCTAGTCACGTAACAATTTTTCACTCTACCATTTAATTCTGAAATGTTGAAAGTTTTATGCATCTGGTGTAACGAGAGAGACTGATTGTGGAGCTCAATTTCGCTTCTTCAGCTATGCTATAGCATCATTAAAACATTGAAATATTTGAACAAAAGTTTCCAACAGAGATTAAAGTGACCAACAGTCTTAACATCGAGGTTCGTGGGGTCACGTTTCAGAAATTCTCACAATGCTACTTCGAAAGTTTGCTCTATTCACATTTATATGTTCCTGCCATTTTAGAAGATGAAACCACAACAATCTTGGATCATCATTTATTTATACATGATATCTTGTGATCAAGTTTTTTTTCTTCTCTTTTTTCAATCAAAGAGCGTTTTGTTAAGTCAAAACGTAAAAAATATCTGGAAAAAACTGTATCTGTATGTTAACACATTAACAGTTCATGACTATTTCTTTTGACAGCACCATAGTGACTATTGGGATAGCTGGTTCTTGGGTATATTTTCTGTTTATGCTTTTTTCTAAAAATCCTAAATGAATCGGTATTAGTTTAAAATTGATAAAATATTAAATTGAGATTTGAAAAGTGGATAAAGATATTCATACACCTATTGGTTAAGTGATCTCACGTTCACTGGAAATTTTTATAAAAGCACTGCCGCGAAATGTGGAAAAATGCATAAATGACCGTTTTGTTTGTTTGACACTGAACCAATTTAAGACCTGGGATGATGGAAACCTAAAAGAAAATCTTTAAACGTGATACAAACAATTAGTGCATGAGCTTAAATACAGATAGTTTTAAGTCCGGTTTTGTGTCTTGCTACACTCGAATGTTAGAAATTGTTTGTAAACACCCAGAAAAATAAGGTTTTGGGAGAAGACATGCAGTGAAAATAATTTATTTTTATTATTGATCGTAATAATAATATGATAACTGGGAAAACTGTTTGCACAGGTGTACAGCGAAGAATATTCTGGTCATTTGTTTTTCAATCTCCGTTACACTGCAAGGTATCCAGTGAATCTGCAGTTGCACTCGAAATGACTTTTGCTGGCGTGTATCGTATAAATAATAGAAATATACTGAATCAAATTGTACTCAAGATTTCTACAGCGTTAGTAAGCGCGTAAAACGCTGATATCTTTTTTCAAAAGGGAGAGAACCCTCTCTCAGAGCTGTTATAAAAATTGCAGCGTTGAGATGGTTTCAAAACGTTGGCCGATTTAAACGAATCGAATTAAGTAGAATTTGATACAAAGATCAATGTTTTCAAATTTTAGCTATCATCTGTCTTTTGAATAACTTACTACTCCACTCGGGATGACTATTCAACCAATGAGTTACTCGGATACTGAGAGTTTGAGCGACTTTGCCATACAAGTTTGTCAAAAGGCATACAACAGCTTAGTCAATTGAGGATAGAAACGAATCTAAGAAGTGCCATAATGGCACAAATTTATTTTCCTCAAACGTTTCCTCTTCTCTTGCAATTCAACGAACAATCATCTGCCAAACACCTCCTATGGTTATTTCTTGAGTGTTAGGACTTAATGAAGATTTTTTGGAAGCTTTTTAGTCATAAATAACTCTTTCGATCTGACCACACTAGATGAACTAATTAATTGAATCGGTATTAGTTCAAAATTGATAAAAATATTAAATTGGGAGCTGAAAAGTGGATAAAGATATTAATACACCCATTGGTTAACTGATCTCACGTTCACTAGAAATTTATATAAAAGAACTGTCAAGAAATATGGAAAAATGCATAAATGATGGTTTTGTTTGTTTGACACTGAACCAATTTAAGACCTGGAATGATGGAGACCTAAAAGAAAATCTTTAAACGTGACACAAACAATTAGTGTATGAGCTTAAATACAAATAGTTTTAAGCCCGGTCTTGTGTCTTGCTACACTTGAATAACAATATAACAATAAGCTTTATTTAACGTGATCAAATGTTCTTAGCTAATTAGCTACCTTACAGACATGCCACGAAAAGTAAATAAATAAACTAGAAATAATAATAGAAAGAGAAGATTTCTTATAAAAACCTATATAAAAAGATATTTATACAATTAAAAAATTATTAAAACTAAGTGTAGATCACGATTAAAATGTAAAATTTGAGAAATCCAACATAGACATCAAGTTCTTAAATGTTCCGATCTTATCAGCGGCACGAAACTGATCCGGAAGAGTGTTCCAAATCTTAGCTGCAGTATAACGTCACGATTTGAGACCATAGGTGGTCGGTGGTTGTATTTACTTTGGATTAACAATTCTTTGATTAAATGGAGACAACAGGTTTAGTTGTTTTAGCAACGTCTCGTACGTGATTAACTTATTTTTATTTTTTATCTTTTTTTATTTTTCAAAAACTTTGGTTAAGACCGGCAGGATTGTTATAGGGCGATGGTTTGTCTTTGTTAACGGACAGTCTTTCTTGTGGACCGGGACAATTTCACCTAGTTTCCAACTCGAAGGCACTTTTCCCCTTTCAAAAAGAAAATTCACTAAACAGCTGAAAGGTTGACACAGAATTTCAGCGGATTCTTTGGCGGCTCGAGCTGGTATTTGATCATGTCCAGTAGTTTTGTTTGTCTTAATATTCTTCATAATTCTCTTCACTTCAGCAGGGCTTGTGTTTGTTGAGGTGAAGGAGCGGGATTGATGAGCTTTTATTGTTTGGTATCACTTTGGAGGCAATTGATTGAGATCAGGGTGCTGAGAACTTGAAAAATATTCTGCCAGAACTTCGGCGACTTTCTTTTGTTCTCTGATGACACCAGCATCGTCTTTCAAAACAATACGCTCGTTGAGGAGAGACTGCTTTTTCCTGGATGAGATATACGGTCTTATTATGTCCCAAAACTTCTTTTGATCTGGATGTTTATCATTTCAGATTCTGGAAAAGTGATCTCTTACTCTTTTTCTTGTCATGCTAACAGCTCTGTTTCTTAGTTGGCGATATTTTTCCCAGTCTTCAGGCTTTCTGGACTTGTTGAATTGCCTTTTACTACGATTACGTTCTCTCATCACTTCCTGTAATTCAGGGTTTATAAATAAATTGAAATTGGTCGCGATGTCTTCGTCGAAACGATTTAACTGGAGCATGGTCATCCAGAACTTCAACAAAAAAATTTTTCCCAAGCCCAATATACATCTTCAGGATCATCGAAGACGTAAGCCGTCGATAAAGGAACCAAACTCAGGTCGCCACAAAAAGAGCCTTCATCAAAATTCTTGAAAGAGCGCACCCGGATAATTTCGGCTTTAGGTTGCGGTAATTTCTTATTTAGAACTGTATAAAATAGACAATGATCACTGAGGCCAACCTTCAAAATTCCTGATTCCCTGAAATAACGTGGAACATTCGTCAGGATATCATCTAAGCACGAAGAATGCTGAGAAGATGTTCTTGTGAGTGAATTATTTAAAGAATACAGATCATAAATGTCACAAATGTCCAGCAGACTTCTCCCTTTATTATTATTATCCAAAGGATAACTAAGTCACAATTCAAATCCCCCAAACAGATAATGCTGTCGCTCTGCGAAGTAGCTTTATTCAATAGACTGTACATGTCGAAAATAAAGGGGGCTTGTATGCTGCTATCAGTGCGAATCGAGTTTGACCGATAGTTAAGTCTAGTAGTATTGCTTCCATAAATTTACATATCATCTTGATGGGCATTGCTATGATGCTTTCACGTACAAAGATTATGACGCCACCACCGCCTTTCTTTCTATCTCGTCTGAAGATATTGTACCCATTTACATGGAACTGAGAATTAGAGAAAGTGCTGTTAATTTTCGTTTCTTGAATGCAGAGAATGTCAAAAACACCATCAACAAGCCATTCCTTGATTGCAATAAACTTGCTAGGAAGACTATTTACATTTAGAAGAGCAACTATACATTCTTTCTTGTTGGTTTTCCGTGGAAACTTGATAGTTGGTTCTCCGTGGGAGCCCATATTTTGAAGAGGGTTGTCATTAGCTGGATCTTGTTCGTTTATATTATCAACATTCGAAAGGTAGCTGTTGTGACAAATTTCCTTTAGAAGTGGGACAGTAGTAGCAATGATTTGAGCAAGACAGAAGCTGTTTGTCGCGTTTCGCAGTTATCCCACCGCACTTTAAGTGAGTCTGTTGGCAACAACTATCACAAGTAATCGCTACTTGATTCTTAGCCACGGCACGTCCACAAACGGAAAACTTGCTTGCGGTTTTTCCTGCAGTGGGTCCGGGGTTGGGATGTCACCACATAAGCTGAAAAACTCCAGATTAAAACTGGCGTCACAGTTGTTGTAATAGTTTACCCTGCAATGAGTAAATCTTACACGCTTGATAAGGTGGATTCCAATATGGCGTCTTACCAAGCCATCGGCCACAGAGCGGCTTGATAAACATTTTTCTGTGGATTCTTGGACTACCAGCCTTCTCAGACTATAGCTTAGGGAAAATGAAAGGTTTAAGAATGACTGGAAATCAGCTTTCCAGGGAGCAATGACGCAAAACAAAGTTAAAAGAATAATGTACACGGAGCTCTTCCAAACGTGTCCGACCGCCATCGTCGCGTATCTCAATGTTGGAAATTGTTTGTAAACACCCAGAAAAATAAGGTTTTGGGAGAAGACATGCAGTGAAAATAATTAATTGTTATCATTACTGTCATAATCTATAAGCCCAATAAATAAAAAAAGAATAATCAAACCTGAACCATTCATTAATTGTTCACAGATCAGTAACCTTCACATGGCCAAAATTCATTTTATCTCTTCTACCTTCCTTATATCGTTAATATTTGACTACGATGAATGAAAAGAAGGCAAAGAGAACTGAAGGGTCAAACATTAAGGGTTTTATTTGACGCGAATGTGACGAGAATGTAAAGTTCGTCCTGAAAAAGGTAAAACTAATCTTTTCATTCTAGTATACCAGTATTTCATCCGTTTTGGCGACATGTTCCACCTTATCAGCGATTCACAAGTTTTATTAAAATCAAACGATTAAGTGCTAATTAGTGGATACTATTTCATTATCTTACATTCTAATTGATTCACCATTAAGCAATAACTCTAATAAGCAATAAGCATTGCATTCAGAGTAACTCAAGCAATTGTTCAACTGTTAATGTCACGCAGCGCAGGATTGTACAAGAAGCAAAAGAAATGTCATTTTATATTGAATATTGCAGCCCCTTGAAATCGTTTCAACACTCTGTTTCTCTCTTTCTTTCCACAATAATCATTGGAGAAGGAAAAGTAGAAGAGGAAAAAAAAAAGAAAGAAGGTCTAATTTTGCGAGAAAGAAATGAGTTGAAGGTGGGTGCATGTTCCCTTTGCCATGGCAAAATCGAAAACGGATTTTCGCATTTTCCTTCGATAGTAAGTTGTCAGCAGAAAATATTTTCATCTGGCTTTCATCAACCATCTATAAGAAACAAAATGGATGAACTCAAAAGGAGCTTTCATTACTTAGAAGACGACAATACTAGTTCAACATACTGCCATGTTAATCTTAAAACTGATGAGCAGAATGTGGCTATGACAAACAAATGGGTTACATAGCTTGCCACAGCCGAATATTTATCTTTAAAAAGCTTAAAAAATCTTCGAAGAATGCAGAAAATTGTACGGTGATGAATAAATGCAAATTTGCAATCTCTATCGAGTACATCTGGTCCTCGCTTGTTGATTATCAATCGTACAGTTCCTCCATTAGAAGAAAGGTTTGTGCTTTCTAGATGGAAATATTGATTTTGAACTGAAACGACCCATCAAAGCGAATAAGGATTAAAATTCCTCAGTCAAAATCTATTCTTAGAAAAGCAAGCCACTACCAAACAGAAACCTCACATTTCAACCTTGATCTTTATTAGCCTTATTCCATGTGTTTAGAACTATGATATCCCAACACCTGGTTTTCTCACAATCACTATAATCAAGATCCCTCGTTTTCCATTCGTCAATGATTAATACATCTGTCGATCGGCTATTTGCGTTTCTTCACGATCCTAAAATAAACAATAGCCATAGACAACTGATCAGCTAAATAACAAAAATCCAAATACATAGATATCAAAAATATTCCTCATGGTTGTGTTTCAGATTTTGGTGGAGCAAAAGTGGGTTTACCGGAAAACAACGAATCAGATATAGAGATTTCAGTTAATTCCTTTTAAGAACTCCTTGTAGCTTTGGTAGATTAAATTGGTCTAAAAATTGAATAGAAATGCTGCAATTATCTCATATTAGATGTGATCGTGGCAACGTGATAACTTTTTTGTTCATTAGAGTTTTCTTAATCTGTAGTCTTCTCAGATTTGAAGGTTTCATAATAGAATGTTTCTTATATCTGACATTTGCTCACCATAAAGCGACTGTATGCGGTTGATGTCTTCCGAATGTAAGCCGGGATTTCTTGTGCCAATAAAGGGCCACATGATGGCGTCGTCATTGTTAGAGTGACTCAGTCCTAAGGTATGACCGAACTCGTGCAAAGCAACGTAGCTCAGGCTTTCTAAAATCTGCGCCGACCACCACGACTCACTGGTACTACCAATATAGGTGTACCTTTCATCGTTATCAAAATGGACTCTTCCGTCTTCAGGGTAATACGCATGTGCAACGGTTCCTCCCTCTCCGTCGAAATCGAAATTACAGTCTTGCTCATTAGTGACGCCAGCAGGAGATTTGGATCCAAAGCTTTGAGGGAAAAATATTACTTCAGCGAGGAAAAAGGTTACTTCAGCTAAAATATGACGGTATCAGCCCTTAGCTAGGTATTCGCAACGGCTCATTCCTTCATCAATATCAATATGACTAATATCATCTTTAATATTATTATTACTATTAATATTATCGTTAGAATACAAAGCAGTCCAGCCTTATCCTTATATCGGCATTGTCGTAGTCATTTGTCCATGTAAACTGAAGACTTGAAGCAGCACCAACCCATTTGTCTAAGGCCTCCTCGATAATACGTGGCTGAATGGACTCAGACATATCGTTACTGTACTCTATATAATATGTTAAACTTGTCTTAGACCATTTTCCTTGCGTGGTGAAACGCTTGACGCGTCCATCTTCGTCGACATCGGGTATTCCACATCGTGGTTTTCTCATCAGGTATAGAGTGTCTTCGTCCAGTTCTCCCGTTTGTGACAAATGGAAAAACTTCTGGAAGTTTTTTATTGCTTTGTTCAGGTCCTGGTTCCCTGATCTAGCTGGTGATATGTAGTGCTACTTCCTTAGGTAGCTCTATTGATGCGAAAAAATTGACCGTTGAGTTAAAGGCACCTTGATGGTGTGTTCACCTGTTATTATACAAGTTTGCTTGAGCGCTATTTGTGAAAAGAAGCCTTGAAATTAAGCGGGAAAATGATTAAACAGAAAGAAATGCTTGGTCTAGAGTTCAATTCAAGTGAAATCTGAAGCACTAGATAGAGACTACACATCGATATATTCAGTTGTTTGTGTTAACAAAAGATTGTGCCAGATCAGGAGGCTCCTGACATAAACTGCTGCACCTTTATTTCATATTGAATTTTACCGGTTTTCCTGACCTCCTGCCTATACCAACTATTTTCCTATTCAAAGCGACAAAACACACAACAGTCAAAAGGCCTTTACACTTACCTCGGCGAAAGATTTGTCCTCTTTAAATTCGTGAAACTACTCATAGCAGACGATTTTTACAGCAAACAGTAGGGAAACTAGCAGAAATGAGACCAACATGGTTTACCTGTTTAGCTTCTTAGCATGAGAAAATGCACCTTTCTGCCAATGATAGGCTGCTTTAAATAAAAATTACAAGACAACAGATATATGATAACTGGGAAAACTGTTTGCACATGTGTACAGCGAAGATATTCCGCTCATTTGTTTTTCAATCTCCGTTACACTGCAAGGTATCTGGTGACTCCCGCAGTTACACTTGAAATGACTTTTGCTGGAATGTATCGTATTAAACAATAGAAATATTCTGAATCACATTGTACACAAGATCTCTACATCGTTAGTAAGGGCGTAAAACGCCAATATTTTTTTCAAAAGTGAGAGAACCCGGCCTCAGTGCTATTACAGAAATTGCAACGCTGAGATGGTTTCAAAATATTGACCGATTTAAACGAATCGAATTAAGTAGAATTTGATACAAAGGTCAATGTTTTCAAATTACAGCCATCAACTGTTTTTTTAATAGCTTACTACTCTACTTAGGATGACTATTCAACCAATAAGTTACTCGGATACTGAGAGTTTGAGCGACTTTGCCATACAAGTTTGTCAAAAGGCATATACAAGCGTAGTAAGTTGGAGATAGAAACCTCTTATCGTTGTTTCTAGAGTGTTAGGATTTAGTGAGGATTTTTTTAAAGCTTGTCGGTCATAAATAACTCTTTCGATCTGACCAAACTAGATGAACAGACAAATTGCTGTTGAAAACTTTCTGAGGCAATGAAGATGATAGAAAAGTTCAACTTGCCGCCTTTAGTTACAAGTAAGGTAAAACTTTTTCAAACACGATTCATGTTTGTCTCGTGTTTATTCCAATGAAAATCTTTTGTTCAGATGGTGTGGGAGTAGGAAGAACTTAACTAAGTTATCATTACTTCCTCATTCGTAGGATCATGTCGCAGGAATTCTTATAATAGAATGTATAGTGATTGTTTAGTTAAGAATGATGTTTTAAGCAGGTGGTTGACGGCCGTTGTATGAGTGAAATATAAGAGGCAGGCTCTCGATTTCGGATTGCCGATGCAATTTCTGTTGTTGTATAACAATCAGGAAGTTTACGTTCCTTTCGGGAACCGCGCTGTTGCTCCTAAACAAATTCCTCCCTTAGCCACACCCAAGCTAGATTCTTGGCACTGCCTTTAGATCTTTAAGATCGCTTTCCTTAACTACAGCATAATTTAATTCTGAGATGTTGAAAGCTTTATGCATCTGGTGTAATGAGAGAGACTGATTGTGGAGCTCAAATTCGCTTCTTCTGTCATGTTAAAGCACCGAAATCTCAAGAAACCCCCACAAAACATTTGAAATATTTGAACAAATGTTTCCAACCGAGATTTAAGTTACCAAACAATATTAACATTGAGGTTCGTGGGGTCACGTTTCAGAAATTCTCACAGTGCCACTTCGAAAGATTGCTCTAACCACATTTATTTAATCCAAAAATTTTGGCTATGGCCAAATAGCTGTGATAAAAGGGTTTGAAAAGGCTCTCGTAGAGATCCTCCAAAGCTTAGCTCAAGAACGATCCCGTAAGATTATTGCTTGTATGAGAACGGTTTTGTAGACAGTTTTTTTGAGTGTCAATCAAACCACGGCATTCTGACGAAGCTTAGCTCTTTTTCCGAGTAGAGGAACAACCGGTAATATGATTTGATATATTGAACGAGGTTTTCAGGTACTTCTTTAGCACTCATTCGACTTCCAATAGTCACGAAAGTATTATTAATGTAATCGGGCAGTTGGATGTACTGGACTTAAAGCGAGAAGAATCCTATCAACGCACAAAAAACCATCGACATTACATCATTCCTTCGTTACTTTGGCTCACATCAGTAAAAGTGCACACAACAAAATTTAATTTAAAATACTGTATTAAACCCACGTTAGGAAACCACAATATTTGGACCATTTTAGTTATGTAGATAAACAAAATTAAACATGAAGCACCCCAGCTAAAGAAATTTCTTATTACCCACTTCCTAACCTTTTAGACATTTTCATTTGACCTAGAGGTACAGTAGCTGCCCTTTGAAAAGAGAGGAAAATGAATGTACAGATTTAGTCACGCTTTTGTCAAGATCTTTTCTGTACATTTCCAATTTGTGCAAGACCATACGATCACTAATCAATCATCGGTGATCGAAAGATCTCGTAGTCATGAAATTGAGATTTATTTTAAAGTTCAACTTTGGTTTACAGTTTATTGCAAACTCCTGCCATACTAGTAAGGATACATCTTATAGAGAAATATAGTAACGTCTTTTAATATTTTCTTTGTATATTAGATCTTGGGACTCTGTTGCGGACATTTTAACAGTACATTATCTACGCAGGGGCTGTTTGGTAAAGAGCACGTCTTTAAACAGAAAGTGGTTTAACAATCGTTAATATACATCCAAACTAATATTCTTCCCAAAGCGAGCTGTATTTCTCTTAATTTATCTTATTTTCGGTGGTATTTGAATATTTCTTGGTCGTTCATTTTGAAAAAGAAGACCATTTGAAAGCCTGCGAGAGTAGGCAAGTACTAGACTTCGACAGGTTATCAAAAACAAATAGTGTACAGAATAATATTTTGAACCCGCTCATGCAAAATTACAGCTGGTTCATAAAGATTCCTTTTGATCACATTGAATACTTCTGTCTTGTGTTCGCTCGATAAATATTCAAATAGGACTTAAAACTCTTGCTTTTGAAAACAGAAATATATTTTATAGATCTGTATAAGATTGGGACTGTTTCAATAATAATGCCATCTTGATACCATGTTGAAAGGACATTTGGAATATTTTCTTGTTTTTCCTTTACTTCAAGTTTCTACTTCTTCCTTATCTGTCTGCGTTCTCTTGGGGTTTCCTGAAATCCGCATTAATTCTGTTTTAGTAATATTAGTGGGAGTCTTACGGAGTTAAATATTACGAAATGATTCATTAAGTATCAGCAACAGAAACCTGAAAAACTGAATTTTACATAGGATGCGCAAGGAATCAGTGACTTTTATTGCTGGCAAGAGATTTCATAGATCAAGGGTTCCGTTGTGTGCACGGGAAGCATTTATAAGAGTCTAATGGGGCTAACTACTAACTGTGAAACAGCAAAACATTTAAGCCTGTTGAGAGTAAACCTGTACAACTTTTAACTGGTAGTCGTACAAAAGCTAACCGTAAAATTTTACTCTTAACTTAAACGGAACTAAATTAACAGTCAGCTTTAACATGGCAAGGATTTTAACTGTTAGCCATAGAGGCCATGATCCAATTGAGACCCTCGTATATCCTTTAGCCAAAATTGCTGCACTCTTCCCACCATTTAAACTCTTTTAGCCCCGTCATGAATTTGCCCAACAACTGTAACCGCTGTAATAAGCTCCTATTTGGCTTCTAGACGCGGGGCTTATTAGAGAGAGGGAGATAGAAACTGGAGATCTAGAAGAAGCTTTTTTCTAACGTCCTATGAAACAAATTGCCATTAATCTTCTGAAATATCGCTTAGCTTTCATGAACACCACATGAAATAAGCATCCAATATAATGATTCACAACCAAAACTAATTCATTTTTATGACACGTATGGATATTTTCGTACCGAAACGCTACCTATTCTAATTGAATAACAATATGGTTGCAAACCCATTGAAAAGTTGAAAGTTTTTGTCCAAAGGGAGGGGTAAGTGGGGTAGGGGCTCTTCTAAAGCGCCTAGGCTAGGACACACAAGGAATTTCAATTTTGGGTATACCTACCATACAATGAATTGATCCCATCAATATCATCTTGATGCAAAACAGGTCTCCCATTGCGTGCAAGTGGCCACATTACGGCACCTTGAACATTAGAGTGCGCCAGACCTAAAGCATGACCAATTTCATGAACGGCTGTGTAAAGCAGAGAGCGGGATTGCCTTGAATTCCACCACCAGCCTTGAACTCCACCAAGCTCGGTGAAATGTTCGTCATCGTCAAAATGGATAAATCCTCTAGATGGGTAATACGCATGCGCTATAATTCCTCCTGGTCCATCGAATGGATAAGCGCATGGCTTTTCACGCGGGACACCACCATGCAACCGTTTCCCAAAACTGAGAATGAAAATAATAATGATAAAATAATAATTACAGCAACGACAGTCACAATGAAAATGACGATGACGACAAAAGTAACTTCTTGTCATGAAAGGGTATAGTTGATTCAGGTGACTGGTTGGGAAAAACGAAATGCTTTCTTGGCTGTACGTTTTCTTAGCTAATGATAATTATAACAATACTTATAATACTAGTAACAATTGTGATAAAAATAATGATGATAACATTTGATAATATTGAGACGGGGTAACCACTTCATTTAGTGAATTGTTATCAAGGTGGGCTATGTTGAAACAGTAAATGAAATGATAAGGACAAATAAACAAAAACATATAATACCGGAAGTAAGAAAGCATTTAAAAAGATGATAAAATACTAAAGACGCCAAAAAAGATTCCTAGGTTTTTAAAATCCGACCGTGGACGGTGGGTCAAATTTCTTCCGCTTATATTGAGCTTACTGATCCATCAAGATTTGTATTAATTCATTTTGTCAAAATGCTTGAGTACAGCGAGAAAAAACCTTTCGCGGAGGTCTGAACAAAAGTCAGAGGCACAGTACCTCTGCCTAAATACTACATAATATCTATATTTCGTGGATGTGAATCGTCCATTACTGATCCAAATTTAGTGGAAATATAATCTATGATAATGTATGAGTTTCTCGGTTATTCAATATATAATATCAATAATTCCGTGTGTTTACACTCAATGGCTTGAATATTTATCAAGAGAGTAAATGCAAATTTTTTATTTTTTCGAAGCAAAATCAACAATCTAGAGTCTTAAATTTGGGATGAAATTACATTAGCGACTGATTTAAAGAAACAAGAAAAGAATGCAGACTAAGGAGATCGCTAACCTGATTCTTAAGTCAGTGTTGTTGTAATCGTGAGTTCTGTTGAATGTAAGGTTTTGTGCAGCGTCGCTCCAATATTTGAAAGCTTCAGCGAAAATTCTTGACTGATCGGCCCGACTCATGTCATCTCCGAAAGATAAGTAATAAGTTAAATTTCTTTTTCTCCATTTGCCCCTAGTTACGTAACGCTTTATACGAAAGCCCCGGATGTTAACATCCGGATCACCACAGCGCGGTTTCTTCATCATGTACAAAGTATCTTCGTCCAGATGACCGGTGACTTGAAGTCCGAAGAACTTCTGAAAGTTCTCGATTGCTTTTGTGGTGTTTTGATTGGCAAGGTCTTCGTCAGGTGAAAGGTAGTGATAGTTTTGTAAATAGAGCTGCCAAAAGAGAAATAGGTCAAAATTTCAGTTTGGACTAAATCAGTTTTTACATTTTGATAGTCTCACTTTCTCATTAAAAAACAAGGCTGTCCGCCGGTTAGATGTCACCTATTTTTAGTACATTGTGACCCCACAACCCTCATCTAAGTTCGTTGAAACAACCCGCTTCCCTCTCAATGTTGCTTTTTTCTTTGTTTTGGATTTTTTTTCAGGAGGTCGAATTATTCAGTTATTTGCATTAACAAGGGACAAGGGAGAAATGTTTCGACAATTTTGACGACGATTGCAGTTCATTTGGCAGTTTTATGATTTATGCAATTAGTTGGATTGATGTTTGTTATGCACAATAAATAAGTTGTTGCTTCCACACACGAAAAAAGTGTACTGAACGTTGATTAAAATTATTTGTTTGACTTGAAATGCTACATGCGCGAATTAAATGAGAGAACGCATTGAAAAATACGTGGAAGGGAAACTCACAGCACAAAATGAAAGGGGTAGAATCGCGATGTGTTCAGTAACTATTCATTAGTAAGCGATTATCCAGCTAACCCTTTTGTATCATTACTGCAGAGAAAGTATTAATATTACTATAAGAGACTAAGTTTGGCCAGCAATGTAACCTAAATCTTAAAGTCATATGAAAAATTTGCCTAACTGTTTCACACAAACCATAGCGAATCCTTCATCGTCCTCGTCGTCGTCCTCGTCGTCATCCTCATCGAGTCCCAGTGCATAATGATCTATAAACAGCATCGAGAGAGCCACTAAGACCAGAAACGAAACCATGTTTCCCTTCATCATTAAAACGTTTTGCTATCAATTCACCACCGAATAAGACATGTTTACATGTGCACATCAAAACTAATAACATGGATATTGTTGGATTATCTCATTAAAGCAAGTATCCGTTACCAAATATGGATCTAAGAGGGACTTAAAATAGTTTTTAGTGATTTTGCTCATTTAAGTGTTTTTTTTTCTCTACAAGTCGAAATACTATTTTTAAGAAGATAAGGATATGCGATCTCGACCATAGAATTGTGCACTATGACTGGACATGACCTTTGTGTGAATAAGTTATCATTCTTATGATCAGCTGGCGTCAATTAAAAGTATTCGCCGCATTAGTTGCATGGATCATCAAAGCAACCGCTATAAAAGATATCCCATGGCGAAAATTGTATCATTTCAGTGTTTTTCCGTGTACTGCTACTAAAACAGACTATTTTCAGCTGTTTTGATTAAAAATTAAAAACCAAAACGTAGGCGGAAATCGACACTTATCGTGCTAAAAACAGAGCAATTACTTAAGGTTTAATTATGATTTGGACTATATATTGACGACATTAAATGATATTGGATATTGGCCTTGCAATAAGGGAAGGAATTGTAATATTCTGAGCATGATACTATTGAACAGGAAACTGCATGTGAACCGCCCAAACCACAATTTTGGTTCAAAGCAGATATATCCTAGTAACAAGTGGCGACAGAAAAACAAGTTGGTGAGGTACTTGTTCTTATCCTCAAGGTCATCATGCGATCTTGTTTGGGAGACGTGGGAAATATTCTGGTGAATTGTATTGTTAACTTATGCAATCATTACGGCCGTGTACGAATTTTAAGCAAGAAGTTTTAAACGTGAGCTGTTTAAGCAATATTTTTTGTCCCAAGTTTAATGCTAAACCATTCGTAGCTCTGCCCCAAAAAGAATGTCACTTTCGATTATGTTTCAGCATTTCAAAAAAAATGGAGGAACATTAAACCATTCATAACGATTCAACAGCAGTTGTGGGAACTGCGCGGGGAACGAAGTAGGTTTCTTTACTCAGATTAGGGATGATTTTGCTACACTTCAGTATACTTGAGTTAATATAGTGGATCGTCTCAAAGGAAATCTGCCCATTTAATATATTGGTAATTTTTTGACGAGTAGATTGATTCCTCTCTACGTTTACAATAATTTAGCGAAATGATTTGATATTTCCTATGAATATCATTTAATTATTCTTCGCTGCTTAGGTTTGACTTTTAGATCACTGATTAATGTATGTAGTATATACATTATACAAGGATGCTTTATATTTGCTTTAGAACAGTATGTTTGTTTAAAAATGGGATTCATGGTGTATATAGTAAATATTTTTAGTTGTTTTCCCGGTTCAAAGGGTGTTCTAGTTTCTGTTTTCACCACAGTTCTTCTTAGGGTGTTTCTAGTCAGCTAGCACATGATTCATAAATCTCATAAACTCATCTCGTTGTCAATTTTGTCCCAAGTGTTTTGATTCCACTTGTCTCGATATGTTTTACAATACGTATGACTTACGATTTTTGGACCCATATCATTTTGTGTTTATTTTCTCGATTGTTACATAATACAGAGTGTTCTTAACTAGGAAAGACACTCTTAAGAGTAAGATTTGAACACTATGGAGGAGCAGCGCTCGGAGACAGTTTTGGTGACAACCCGGCATGACTTATAATTTTTGGACCCATATCATTTTGTGCTTATTTTCTCGATTGTTATATAACATAGAGTGCTCTTAACCAGGAAAGACACTCTTAAAAGTAGGATTTGAACATTATGGAGGAGCAGCGCTCGGAGACAGTTTTAGAGACAACCCTTGAAATAATTTAATAAAAATCCCAGCAAAATCACGGGCACTTTCAATCTTTCAGTCCTCTTATCTCTGGCAAAAACACAAACATCATGGATTAAACTTTTTTATGAGTGAATTCGTCAAGGTAACTTACCTTCTCATGTCCTTCATTCACTTGAGATAAGAAAGAAAACTTAAACTTCTCACTTGTAAACTTTTAACCTATGCCAATGGTGAGTAATCTCAATCTTCAATCACCATCTATTACTGCCACGGTAACATGTAATTACGACCAAAATTTTTATCAACGGGTTATCTCCTTTAATTTATTTTATTCAGTTATGTGTGCACAGCCTTCATGGAACTTAGGTGAACCTAAATTATGTTGTTTGCTTTCATAAAATAGCAAGACCATCTTAACAAGACGACTTCCTAACTACCGCCTGATATCAGCCGACAATGCTTAGGTGATATCAGACAGTGGATAGCGATGTTCCAGAAAGTTCGACCATTAAAGTGACCGGAAAAGATGGAAAACTTGTATCCTCGTCCATAACTTGCCACCCCCAGTTGAGCGTGAGGATGGGAAAACCCACTCAAGCAAATAAGTTCACACACACACACACAATCGTTGTTGTATCCTCTGCCTTTTGGATGTGATTCCTATCAAAAGGATGGGATGTTTCATCCTATCTTGACAGAGTTTAGAAAGAAAATTCACTGAAGGTAAAGTGACTGTGTCATTTGGCACAGTAATGTCTTAACAGGGTTGTTATGGTAAAGAAACAAGGAAGTTTATTTTCCAGTGCTAGTGCACGAGATTACATTGCATGAAATTACTAGTTTTTCTGTTAAGTGTATTATGAAGTGATTGCAAATATTCTAGTTTTGGCTTTGCCGGTCTTTGGTTTGCTCATTATTATAATTCACCTCATCGCTTTTGACGTAAATAGACTGTCACGTGATATTCTAGAGGCAGACTGCATGTGGCCACGTGTAGGGTGAACTGGCTTCCACACAAATGCCGTTGTGAAATTGGATTAGAAGAAACCCGAAGAACGGAGGAAGTGGATCGAACGGTCCAAATGTCATCACATTGCCGCTGGCCTCGACAAAGAGGACGGCAAGAAACTGATAAATTACTAAATTGGTCTACGCGTTGGTTGAAATACGAACAAAATCACTCTTTGCAACACGCTTATTGGGCATGGATCTGTTATATTACAACAAAAGAACGGCTCCAGAGGAACTTGAGTCCGTAAGTTTTCCAAAACCCTTACGAACTTGGAGAGTTCTGTTAATGTGAATTTCTGTCAAAAATTTTGAAGACAAGAATTTGGGACTTCATGCAAGCTACATTTCAACAACAACAATTACAAGAAACGCGTTGTGAGTTCTCAGACAGCCGACTGTCATAGTAAATTAAAAGATTTTGAGAGCTACTGTAGATTATTTAAAAGGACGATGACTATCTGAGGGGTTATCCAAGTGATTTATGAAAAAATAATTGGACGGACAGAGCGGACTTAGAAGCGATATAAAATAGAGGTAAGCGGTAGCTAATTAACGTTTGCAGTCAGGTTGCAGATATGAACACAAATGCCACTAAAAATTCTCCGTACCGTCATTTTTTGGGCTAGAATCTCGTTATGTTCATAGGTGATATTTTTCTCGGGAAAAATTTCCGTAGAACTCCATCCTATTCTCAAACAAAGCCGTAGTCGCAAAGGCAACCTAGTGTTTTGGCTATTGTTTTTTTTTTCTTTTTTTTGATCCAATAACTCTATACAAATGGAAAATATTGGGTTATACAGAAATCTTGGCTGTTTCTATTCCACGGTAGGATTGTGGAGCTCAGCATATTTTGTTAAAAGCACGTTCTGAGCCGAGCTATAACCCATTTTGTTGTTGCAAAACCCGATGCGAAGAGTTGCTTCTGTTGCCATGGCGATTGTAATGCTGATCTTTATCTAATCTTTAAAAAGAACAAATTCTGGTACAGGTAGTAGCTTTTGGGAGGTGAAACATTTTTTTCAAGGAAAAAACTAGTGCCCTATCAAATGAGATATTCTATTCTTTACGAAGCTTGAGATGTTTTTTGAGACATATCAAAACAGGAATACTTTTTATTTAAAATTTCAGTTTGCTTGATCCAAAAATATATCCAATTTTCACCCAAAAGGGGGTTAGTAATTTGTTTTATAAACCACTCTAAACAGACATTTACATTTATATGAAAAAAGCTTTCATTGCCAATATATCATAAAACCAAAGAGCAAAACCCAAAACCCAAGTTGGACATTACATAAATGGGCTCAGCTCCTAAAAACACACCAATTGTTTAACTCTTAATTAAACCCCCCCCCCGAAGTAAGTAACATTTTATTTCTCCTTACATTATCACCCCCAAAACACAGTAAGTTCACAAGATTAAAAGAAATGATCACCAACTATTTAAGAAGCTCTTGATTGTTAAACAAATTCTCCTCGTTAGCACCTTGGGAAATGTATAGAGAACAAAATAAAATGAGATTGAAAATTTAGGAGGAATACAGTGCAGTCATCCTTTTCACTTTTCTTTTCTTATTTTCTGTTTTATTTTGCAACAAGGCAATATATCATCATTGACTTTAAATGATGCTGGGTGAACTGACATGTCATCTCATGACCAAAATCAATCTCAAACAAAAGGTAGATTCTTAACGAAACAATTATTTGAACATTTTCTGGCTCATTCAATCATAAAAAGCAGAATTCACTAGAATGACGTAAGCCTAAGGCGTGGCCTATTTCGCGTACGGCGACTTAAGCAGGCTTTGCAATTTACTTCAGAAACTTCCTTCCTCACTGAATTTTTTGTCATCATCATAATGAATGCGGCCATCCCGCGGTGGAAAGGCGTGGCCAAACATGCCACCCCTCCCATCAAAAACAGAGTGGCTCGTAAGGAGTTCCAGAATGCCTCATTTGCCAAAACTAAGCAGAATCGAAGATAATTGGTACATAAAAATGTACATAAAATCTTAATATACATTCCATAGCAATAACGGTCGAGAGAGACTTGTTAAACGAAAATTTAATTTTGGAACTTTGGAATTTTGGAATTTTAATTCATTTTTGAATGTGTTACAAAAGTACCGCAATGAAATTACATTTATGAACGCTTCGCTTTTCTACTGTTTTTAAAAACAAAGTTTCTCTTTCATAAAATAATGACTAGTTCGTACAAGGGTGCATAGTTTGCGGGGACCATGCAGTCCCGCAAGCTACTTTGAACGGGAGAAAGGATAACTTTACGGCATGAAAGTCAACGCATCTCACCATTGCGAAGCTAGCTTATTCAGCTCTCCAAACAAGACTCAAACTACTTAAAAAAAACATCCTTGACTAAGAACAGAGCTAACATGTTAATTGACTTTTTTGACATCTTTGACATCTTCGGCCCAGGAACAGAGCTAAGATGTTAATTGACTTTTTCATTAAGGCAAGCTTCACAAGTGAACTGCACATCCTTTGTATCATTTGCCACTATCTGTCTGTTAGGTCAGTTGTCCAGTTGTAAGATTGGCTATTCAATCGCGCAGTATTAAGGTTGCGTTATTACATGTTTGTCCTGTTACTTTTCTTTAATTGCTTCTTATAAATGTGTCTTTCTTTTGCGAAGGGCTTCTCTGAAGATTTCAGACTTACAGTGAACGAACTCCTTGACAATATTTCTCACATTCCTTATTAACTACAACTTTACTTGAGCAGATACATCAGCTCTTCTCAAAAAATGATGAACTTGTGAACTCAGTTAAGTTTGTTACATTTGTCCTTTAAACACGAGGTTTCAGTAGTTTAAGGAATGAGTAAAATCATTAAGCTTGCAAATAGAAACATTTATCAGATATCAATTTTTTTAGCTGAACTTAGATTTTCTCACTTTTGAATAAATACTTGTGAAAATACCATCCCCGTCACGAGGTTGGTTTCTCATTAACTCTTTGTGATATTTTACTGTTCTTCATCGACTTGTCTCCCCCCCCCCTCCTCCCCCCCCTTCCTTCTGACGCTATTTAAGACGCGAAAATACCATCCCCGTCGCGAGGTTGGTTTCTCATTGGCTCTTGTTGATATTTTCTTGTTCTTCATTGGCTGTTGTGATTACTTTGGTTTCGGTGTCACAATATTTAATTGTAAATTGTCTGATGAACATGTATACTTCTGAATGGGTAAACGGAAAATCGTAGCGGGGAGGAGTCAGAGCGGAGGGAGAGTTGACAGTTAAGGTGATAGCATTATTAATTTATTTCAGACAAAATTCAGATATCCATTTCGACTGCAAACATTTTTATTGTCACTTTGAGTAACATTTGAAGCTTCCCTTTAAACAATGTCTGCATAGCTGAGTTCAAACTAACGACCTGCAAAAAAATGTAGAAACAAAAATTGGCGAAGTACGATACGATTTTAAAGGTGAAGGAGATTGCTCAAACTACTATTGAAAAATGACTGTTAAATTGTAATCGTTTATCAAAGTAACGATTGCTTAAGGTATATTAGATACAGATATTCTAAACAGTATGAAAGTACTGTTACTATTTCAAGCTCTGAACTGTAATTCGCAGTATTTTTACCTAGTGAACGTATCGTACTTTTATTCCTAAATTCGTGCGCACGTTTAAAAAACGCGCAGTGCTTTATAAATCAGAGACAAAGATCAAATGAAATACGATTGATGTAAATCATCGAAAAAAAGATTTACCGTAAAGTGACCTAACCCCATCGATGTCATCTTTATGCAGTTTAGGAGTTCCCCGGCTGGCTGTTGGCCACATCACTGCACCCTTAACATCGGAGTGGTACAGTCCCAGAGCATGGCCAATCTCGTGCACGGCAACGTGAATAAGACTGTTAGATCCTGTCCAAAATGATCCAGTCTCGCTAAACTTATCATCATCGTCGAAATGTATACGGCCATTTTGGGGATAGAAAGCGTGAGCGAGAACTTTTCCTTTGCCATCAAAGGGTGTATAGCACTTTCCTTCTCCAGGGACGCCTTGATGACTTCCTTTTCCAAAACTGCAAAATAAAAGATTGGATTTATGGTCATTAATCGCTAGAGGGGAGGGAAGATTCCCCGCTCCGTCCCCCCTCCTCCCCTCAAGGATGATATTTAATTGACTGGTCTCTTAATTTATTGTTAAAATTTTTAAAGCTGAATTTCATATACGAAAGTTGCCCATCAGAAATTTGACTAAAAACATTCAAACGACAAATCTATTTATTGTTAAAAAACTCATGAGAGAATTATACTGGAAATAAAAGATGCTCAGAACGCCTTGTGGTTCATGAATAGAATATTCAACGGATCTGTATCACTAAGTGAGTCCTGAACTACTTTCATTTAAAAAAGGAGATGAAACAGGATTAGTTTGTCAAGATGGAAAAACAGATGGTAGTAGTTGACAACAAACCCGGAAAGAATAAAGCTACTGAAAGATGTGAAGATTTCATCGGATTGTAATTAACGAAAACGAAAATTAGCAAGAAGAAAAATTGGAACCTGAGTCTGAAGTCCGCTTCGCTAGTTCTAAATGTCCTGGTAAACCTCAGAGGCGTGACGTCACTCCACATTTTGAATGCCTTAGCTATAACTCGTGCTTGGTCAGAAGCTGACATGTCCTCTCCAGTCGACAGGTAGTATTTGAGATTATTTTTTCGCCATCTGTCCCATGAGGTAGAGTACCTTTTTTGTCGGTGAGGTTGGCCGTTTGTGTTCAAATCTGTGTTTCCACATCGCGGTTTCTTCATCTCGTACATGGTCTCCTCGTCTAACTTGCCAGTAACGGGTAAACCAAAAAATTTTTGGAAGTTTTTCACAGCAGTAGTTTGATCGTGGTTGCCTGATCTGGTTTTCGAGAGATAGTTGTAGCTTGAGAGATAATTCTAGGATAAGAAAATGCACAAACATGATTGTAATGAGAAGGGGTCCAAAAACTGTCATGAAATCCTTACGCTTTTGAACTTTGTTATTCATGAAGCATAAGATACTGGTTGAAAATTTCTCCCCAATCTGTGTCTTTAATTCAATCAATCGTACACAGCCTTTTCCATTACATGATTTGCTGGAAAATTTCAAATATTTGGTTAAGGAATTTTCGAAGAGAAAATTGTGTCCGTTTAGTGTAGGGAAGAGCTATAAGAGAAGGGTGCTCACTGGCTTTGTCCTTTTTGCTATTTGTAGATTTTTTTCTTTTTTTGCTATCTGAAAAAAAATTGTATCGAATCTTACCAAAGCAAATTCCTCATCGCTTTCCTCTTCTTCAAACGCGCAAAATGCGCTGTGAAGAAGTAACAAAGATACAAATAAAGCCGGAGAAAACATGTCTGTTGACGCCCTTACAGGTACCAAGGGGATCGATTCTAAGATCGTTAATAAAGGAAATCGTACAGTTCTTTTATTCTGTGAAAAAATTCTGCAGCTGAACATTGTCAATAAGCCTGGTTAAACAAACAAAAATTAGTCTTTTGCTTAATCGAGCTAAGTGTTTTTTAATTGCTTTCAACAAATTCGAAAGGATCAAGAGACTGGGAATGTCAATAGTCTCTCCTTGAAACTAAAATTCTCCGCTACGAAAATTAATTAAAAGTAAAAAAGATAAATCAGTAATAACCTCACTAAACGAATACGAAATTTCGTTAAGCTTAAATAAGGCATCGATGACTTGCAATTTAAGGAAAACGTAAGGAACTACAAAAAACATAAGATTTGCGGAAACCATAAACAACGATGAATTTCTCTAGCGGGTGAAATTTGATTAAACCTTTTATACATGCAACTAAACTCGAAATGATATGTCAGATGGGAGTAAAGACGGTTGAATCTAAGTTAACCGAGATACGAAGGGTACTAAAAAAGTAACATACAGAAAGAGACCGTGTCACTTGTTGGCGCCGGTTAAAAAGCATATTCTTAAAACGTGGTTGAGAGAGTTTCGTTTCTTTTTTCTAAAACTAAGAAAACAAACAAGTTACAACGATAAATTTCCTTCCCTTTGAAAATGAAAAATATTTATATTTAATCACGTTTGGTTGTACAGTTGGAAAGGTGTTAATTGAAAGTCTAGAAAATTAAAAAGCAGGCATAATCACAAAGCCTACCGGGATTGAATTAGCATTTTGGGATTTGTTGACTTTCGTTTAAATAGATATCAAAAGTGGGAAGGAAATGGTAAGATCATGAAAAGGCTTAAGAAAGGTTCATGGGATGGAAGGTAAGAAAGGGGAATTTAAGGCTGGGCGCTGAGTTGTGTATCGTCAGTTTTCTTTTGCAACACGCTTCCCCGGCTCTCTGTTCCTCTTTGTTCCCGAGTCCTTTCCTTCTCCATGTCTACTCGTTATTATGTTTCCCAGTGTCCCTGTCTCCCGCCTTCCGTCTTCAATCTCCTGCCAGTTTCCCGATTCCCCATTATCTCATTTCTCTTTTTCCTGCGTTTCTCCGTTTTCCCAATTCAACCCTCATTCTCATTTTCCCGGAGCCCATTAGTTACCTTCTCCCGCTCCCCTGTTCTTGTAATTCCCTATTCAACCACAAAAAAGCGAGCGAAGCAATTGCTCCTTGTTCTTAAAACATGACTGTATTTATCCAATAGAATTTTCCTTGTTACGACGGCAAAAAGTAAATTCCACCTTTCGCGTCATGTCTATACTTACAGATCCAAATTAGTGGTTGCGCGAACCTAAGGACGGATCAGCCTTCGTGTACTTCCCACGGATCTTTGCGAGCATAGTTGGTTCTGCCATAGTGTTGCTTCTGCAAGGAATATGTCGTTGTTCTTGGTGTTCACGCAGTTCTTAGCAAATATCGACTGGCTTATTTAAGGTACTTCCATGTAGCCAGGAATGTATACATATCGCACGCAGATATAAAGGTAAATTGTTGTTCGCTTTAACTTCTTACACAAGAACACATCACTGAATGTTACCCACGTTTTCCTAACACTACTTGCTTCAGCTTTTCTCGAGCAGGTAAAACGCAATGTTTATTTGTACCCATGATATGGACATCAAACTGTGTGGAAAGATCTCCGTATAACCCCATACTATTCTAATACAAAGCATTCAGTCCCGAATGTAATCTATTGTTTTCGCCATTGTTGTCTTTTACCATGGTATGCAAAATGAAGTATGTTGTTATACGGAAATCTTGCCTCTTTATTGATCTGTTGGCATGGTTTTGTGCTTTAACCCAGTATAGTCTAAAAGTATTTTTCTGGTAATTAAAAATGTGATAGGAACATGCAGACAGAAGTTTTGCCACCTGTTTGACTACATGTACTTACTGTCTGAGTGGGTGGCCAGACTAGATAATGTTTGGCATGACAGTGACTTAACAATTTCCTTCTTTGGCCCAACCAAACTCAGTTATTAAGCATGTTACATGACATCACATGACCATCAATAAGTGTTGAATTCCAAATGTTTCTTTTGTTTTATTATTAAGTTGAAGTACACAACTTCAATTTACATTCTCAGAAAATTAAAAAGAACCTTGTGGGTGCTGGGCTGGTGGCTTTTTGCAAACCGGCTCAGGTTGACCAATTAATAGCCCAACACACTTCAGCTTTTACTATGCTTTCCTATAGGGTTTAAGTGCACAGGGCAACATTATTTGATTATTTTATGTGTTGATCGCAGGTCATACTCAATCTTGGCACAGGGTTACAAAATCTCACCTTTTGACAAGAATTATTGTTATTAAACTTAAACCCACAGTCAAAAATGACATTTTTGAAGAGTTGGTCTGTTCAACTGTTACTGATAGATTTTATATGAAATTATGTTTAAAAATCTATATGAATTTAGCATCAGAATTTTTCACAAAGATCTCTTGACTGCCAGTAAATTCATGTTAATTTAAATTCAATTGAAGGCCCAACCATGTTTCATACTTATTAAGTTTAGGCCTGCTGAGAAAGACAACTTTGTTCTATCATTTTATTGGGGCAGAGAGAATTATCTTAAAAAAAACTGATGTGAAGATGTTAGAAATAAATTTTTTCATAAATCAGTTGTGCATTCATCACCATAAGATAACATTTGGAAGTTAATGAAGGGCACTCAAGAATTAAGCTATATTTACTCTTGGCTACACCACAATAAACATACATGCTTACAATCTTTCATGCTCTCCAAATTTCCCCCGAGCTTGATATTACCTAATGAATGTATACCAATGGATGAACTTGTTGTGAACTGTTGCAGGATATCAATGATATTATAATCAAAGATTTTTTTAATTCACCAGTAACATACTGATGAGGAGACTGAATAAAATTCTGATATGTATGACAATTGTTTGCAGTTTTTCAGATACACTTGAGAAGGTACATGGTCTAATAGGAAGAGGATTTCCAAGTGATTTTTGGCAGGAAATGGCAATTTTTCAGCCATTAAGATTTTTTCAGGTGAGGATTGACTGAATTTTTCCTGGCTGTAACCTAGAATTGGTCATAATTGGCAATAATTGACCAAAGGTCTTTTTTCTTACTCCCAAAACATTATGTCATAAATTAGAACTTCACCAGGATTGATATCTGAGCATTCATAAACTTTTGAATCTTCTGTTTTTTTTCCAAATCTTTTCCCCTGTCTCATTTTCTTTCCTTTCAAGATTCGAAAAGTGACACAGCTATGATTGTTAAGTCATGTTAATTTTGTTTTAATGTAGTATCAGACATAGTTGACTTGAGGGTTTTTATTTTAAAGCAGTGGTTTTTCCTACTTTACTGTACCTTTTAAGAAATGACTCAACTTTAAACGTAGTCAGATAATAAGTAAATTTTATGACACTTTGTCTAATTTGTAGTATCATTGAGTATTGTAATTCATTGTACTGGACTTGCCCTGCAGGCTTGTCAAATTAGGCTTAACTAATAGCATGTACACATCAATAACCATCAAATAATCAATTCTACATTTATTTGAATTCAATTTCAAGGTCAACATAAAAATTCCCAAGAGACTTTGTTCCTTACAATGGAGAACCTGCCAGCATTAAATTTCCAATTGGACTTGTTGAGTGTAGAATTGTCAGAAAAAACCATAACTGAAAATTTCCCTGGTCAAACAAATGATGGTGAAATTTGAGTATTGCATTGCGATGAAAGTCACCACCAGTTTTGGGTCATTCTGCTGATAGCAAAGGTGTAATATAAGTAAGATAAACTTGTATTAGTGGTCACCTACTGGAAATGGCAAGTTAACCTCTTTATACAGGTTGACCACTAAATACAGAACATGGGTCAATACAGTAAAAAATGTCCATTTAAACCATAGTTGATCACTTAATATACATTTTTATTAAACAACCAATGAAACATCAACAAAATGGCAGACCTCTGGTTGGTTACAACCATCAAATGACTTGCATGATGTTTGTGCATAATATTTGTCCTACCAGCCGTTAGAAAAAAGCTGATTTAAAATGAATTGTTGACATTTGCACTCAAAATACATGTACTAACACTGATTTCAGGATATAAACATAGAATTAATTTTACTTAAGAGATCTTATTTGTCAAGCTTGTCTATCAGTATAATATGTATAATGTAAACTTTGAAACACAATCAAAGCACTCTAAATGTCTAGTAGGGCTATTCAAATGGAAGAATTTAATCTAACATTAATGAATAAATACACCTGATTTGATGGTTTAACATATAACACACACATATTTTGTGATCATATGGTATATATCATATGAAGTGTGTTTGCAAGTTGTGCATTCATGAACATTCCGATAAGCACATGCTAGATCCCTATCAAAATTTAGGAAAGTCCAATCCAAGAAAATATATAGCTTCAAGTCTGACAGCCCTTAACACAAATTTTTGTGATTCTAAAATTCATCAGAAGCCTTTGAGAGAAATTGCTGGAGGAAGTGTTTGTGGGACAGGTGCACTCACAAGTCAGTTTTGTCAATGAACTCCAAGCTTCTGTTGTTTATATTTAAGCTATTGTTATTGTCTATTGTGTTTCATTGTTGTAAACACAAACAAACTGCTCCAAAAGCCGAAGGGCAGATGACAAAGTTCAATGCTCACCACTTGCTGTTCACATACACGGGGCGGTTTACTTAACTTGTGTTTTATTATAGAGGTACAATGCCTTTGAAATTCAGTGTTCCTTGCTTTGTGGTTAAGAAATTAAAAGCAAAATTTTCAGAATTGAAGTTATTGCTTGGTTTTTTGGATGATAAACAGAAGAAAATTGTCACAAATGTCATCAAAGGGCATTTCAATTTCTATAGCAGTCTTACACTTCCAAGTGAATAAGAACCTAAACTATAGCATGAATATATGAATACTTAACAACCCACAAAA